TCATCGTCAGCATCATTAATAATGCGACAACGTCCCTCTAACGCTTGTACCACCGCTATACGCTCCATAACAACATCATCATCGTCATCATCATCACCATCATCGTCATCGTCAGCATCATTAATAATGCGACAACGTCCCCCTAACGCGTTAACCACCGCTATACTCTCCATAACAACATCATCATTGTCATCATCATCACCATCATCGTCATCGTCAGCATCATTAATAATGCGACAACGTCCCCCTAACGCGTTAACCACCGCTATACTCTCCATAACAACATCATCATCATCATCACCATCATCATCATCACCATCACCATCATCATCATCACCATTATTATCGTCATCATCATCATCATCATCGTCAGCATCAGCATCATCATCATCAGCAGCATCATCATCAGCATCATCATCAGCATCAATACACCCGTGGTTCAACTGTGAAGGACACAGCATGACTACAGACTGCATGCGTATATATGCATCCTCCCTCTATACAGACCCAGGCGGCAGTCTAGCGTGGCTCTGTGATCGATATGCTAACTTAATAATGAATAAATTGCCGCTAACGCACGCTGTTTTTAAATAGCATTCGCTTTGTAATTTGAAGAAGATGAAAAACAGCATCAACACGATGGTGTTTACTTTGCGCAGTAGACCTGTGTGTGCCGGCTCGAGGGTGTGACGAAGCGCTAACGTACACACATGCTGGCGCGTGAGTGCGTGCGTGCGTGCGTGTGTGCATGCGGGCGCGCCATGCTTATACTGAAAACAATACTGCTCCGTTCATAAATACGTTTCACACTTTCGATCTATTCTTAGATTCTCCGAGAGACCTTTCCCCATTCAAAGATGTGATGCACAACAAGATTTTTTTTTTGACGCGGGAAAGAAAAATAAGCGAGTAATTCGCCGCTGCTCGTGTTAAAAATTTGTAATAACACAATCTTGGGCGAACCAAGGTCAGGCATGCGTCACTGCCTGAAGTCCTATTGGCTCTAGATCTCGCCCGCGAACATCGTTGCGCCACCTAGCGTCAAGTTCTGTCGCACACACAACAGCGAGATGTGCTATTGGTTCTCTGTGTCACGTGACCTCGCGCCACGTGACCTAAGATGGCGAGCGTTCAACGAGCGTGCAATCACAGCGTCGCTCCCTGCTCACACATGACTGTTTCCTGCAGATTCCTATTATTCACGCAGATTCCGCGGTGAAGGGGGTCAGGGGCCGACGGACGAGGGCTCGCATCCTGTTGTCACGGTTACCGCTGCCAGTCTGGCTTCAGCATCCGTCAGCGTCCCGTTGTCATGGTTACTGCTGCCAGTCTGGCTTCAGCATCTGCGAGTTAGTCTCTATATAGTTCTCGCCTTCCCGGCTGTCAGTGGCATCTGCTCGGTCTCGCCTCGGTACGGAGGCTGCCGAGTGGCTTCCATCGCGGGAGGATGCTGCTGGGGAGCCGTCCCCACGGGCGACGCCCCCGCTTCACCGCTTCGCGTCGATGCCGCACACCTTGTCGTATGCGGGCGGGGGCGTGCCTCCCCCCGCCCTCCCTCCGCCCTCCTCCTCCCTCCCCCTCTCCGTCGTCGCAGCCTCCCACCCGTCGCCGCCGAGGTCGGGGGCGGACGGCGCCGCCGACATCACCGCCTGGTAGCTAGGTGGCGCCAGCGTCTGCGGCGAGGGAGCGTACGCGGGGTAGAGGGCGCCGTGGGCGACGGAGATGGCGGCTCCCGGGCTGCCGGGCGGCCGGGAGTAAGCGAGCGTCGCTGCGTCACCCGGCGACGCCGCCCCCCAGGGGGCGCCGCCGTCGCTCTGCATCGCCGGCCAGTTTGATGCAGGTGCCGGTGCCCAGAAGAACTCGCCCGGCCGCGGCGACGGCGCCGTCGCTGTCCAGGGGGCGCCACCCGTGGTCGTCACCCAGGGGGCGCCGCTGCGGCGCGTCATCCACTGGCCGCCCGCGCCGCACTCGTCGAGGCCGCCGCCGCCGCTGCGGGGCGCGACTAATGACAGGCGGAGGCGGCAGGGCTGGGCCTCAGCAATCGCGGTAGACGCAGCGCGGCGACGGCAGGGTGTGGCCGCGGCAACGACGCAGGGCGGCGGGCGGGGAGCGTGTGGTACGGCGTCGGGCGGCGCGTGATCAGTCATCCGCCATCCCGCAGCGGCAGCAAGCGCCGCCGTCGCCGCGATGGCGAATACGCCGGCCCTGCGTCCGGTCCGTAGCAAGCGCCGACCGCCCGCCTGCCGCAGGCGTGGCGGCATCGCCGGCCTGCGACGAACATGGCGGCCGGGCGGACGCGAGACATGCACAGAGCCGAGCTCGATGGCTGGGGGTGATTGGGTTAATTACTCAATTAATTACTGAAATTAATGATGGGTTAATTACTCGATTAATGATCAAATTGATAATTTGTTAATTATTAATTTGCTGACTAAGTGAATGAATAATTGGATTGAAATTAATGTAATGTAATTACCGGCGACTCGGTCCGAATCGGTAATTATTCACGGCAGCGATGGCGTCCCGGTGCCTGCGGCCGGTTGGTACGGAGGCTGAGGATGTCTAGTGCTTCTCGTCGATGCTGCTTCATCACTCGCTGCGTTCGTGGATGTGGTGCCAGGTGAGGGATTCACAGATGCTCTGTACTTCATCAGCTGCTGCTATGTGTGTGGAAAACACTAGTCGTGACACATCTGTCTTTCTCTGATTATCTCACAGGTGTAAACCACAATGTTTTCACGTGTCTGTCAGCTGGAACATGCTCACACAGGTGTAAAACAATGTTCCGCACGACTATCCTTTCTTGATGGATTGTCCACCAGGTGTCAAAACAAATGGTTCCTGCACCTATCTTTCGCTTGATGGATCATACTCACCAGTGTAAATACAATAGTTCTTCAACGCTATGTCTTTCCCTTGACTGATTGTCTCACAGGCGTAAAACAATGTTCTCACCTATGCTTTCGCTTGATGATCATTCTCACAGGTGTGAAAACAATGTTCTCACTGCTATCTGTTTCCTTGTGATTGTCTCCACAGGCGTAAAACAAATGTTCTCACCTATCTTTCGCTTGATGATCATCTCAGCAGGTTAAACAATGTTCTCACCTATGCTTCCTTGATGATCATTTCTCACAGGTTGTAAAACAGAGTTTCCCTTATCTTTCTATGGATGATCATCTCACAGGTGTAAAACAATGTTCTCACCTATCTTTCCTTGGATGATCTATCTCACAGGTGTAAAAACAGATGTTGCCACGCTATCTTTCCTTGATGATCATCTCACAGGTTGTAAAACATGTTCTCTACACTATTGTCTTTCCTTGATGATCAATTCTCACAGGTGTAAAACAATGTTCTCACTACTCTTTGCCTTGATGATTCTATTCGTCACAGGTTGTAAAACAATGTCCAGCCTATCTTTCCTTGATGAATCATCTCACAAGGCGTAAAACAATGTTCTCATCTATCTTTCCTTGATGATCATCTGCACAGGTGTATAAACGAATGTTCTCTCGCTATCTTTCCGCTTGATGATCATCTCACAGGGTGTAAAACAATGTCTCACTTATCTTTTCCCTTGATGATCATCTCAGCAGGTGTAAACAATGTTCTCAACTATCTTTCCTTGATGATTATGTCCACAGGTGTAAAACAATGTTTTCACGCTATCTTTCTTGATGATTATCTCAGCAGTGTGTAAAAAATGTCGGCTCACTATCTTTCCTTGATGATTCACCTCACCGGTGCAAACAATGTTCTCACCTTATGCGCTTTCCTTGATGATTCATCTCACATGCAGTGTAAAACACATGTTGCTCACCTATCTTTCGTGATCTTTGCCACAGGTGTAAGGCACTATACGTATTTTACCTGTCGTTCTCTGCTCCTCTCCCAGGTATATTGCACTACGTTTTACACCTGCGCATGACGTACGGTCTAACAGAACACAACAATGGTTTCATTTTACATCTGTTTTTTTGTCACTGGTTTCCAGCAATTGTTTTTCACCTATCATTGTATCAACAAAAGCTAATAATACAAAATAATAATAATAATAATAATACAAAAGCTAATAATACAAAATTAGTATATAGGTATTAATAGTTCTTTGTGTCATGTTACTGAACCACAGCTATCGGTGATATTATCCTGATAGTGATATTGTCACATCTATTCCTCTAGTCCTGCCACAGAAGTTTCAAAGGCTTTCATCGTCTGCTTGCTTCACAGGTACTTCACAGGTACTTC